AAAAAAAAAAAAAAAAAAAAAAAAAAACCCTGCGACCTTCTTCTGTGCCTACCTTCTTCGGGGCCTTTTCCCACCTTGTGCAATAATCGGCCAAGTTCATATTGGGAGCCACTACAATCAAAAGAAGACGTAACTGCAAAATATATATATATATATATATATATATATATATATATATATATATATATCGTCAAATAGAACTGCCCGGAAAACCGTAGGCAGAGAGGGAGAAGAGGACATATTACAATTGCTAAAGATCGTATTGGGACCCACTGCAATCCAAGAGAAGAAGAAAATGCAAAATCTATGAGGTCGACCGTAATACCGTATATTACAATCGGTAAAGAGAAAGAGAAAGGTAAAGAGATCTGTTGTTTAAGTAGGTTGCAGTTTGCTTAGTCAGTGATCTGAGCATTCTGTCTCCCAAAGAAGATGAAGCACAAAATTGCCACAAATACCAAGTTATCTATATCTACCATGACCACTCCGCTGTCACAAACGAGGGAGAGGGAAAGGAAGAGGAAGAGGAAGAGCAAGAGCAAGAGGAAGAGCAGGAGCAAGAGGAAGAGGAAGAGGACGAGGAAGAGGAAGAGGAAAGAGGAAAGAGGAAAGAGGAAGAGGAAGAGGAAGAGGAAGAAGCCATAGCCAGTGTCATTGTGCCGCATCTCCTGCTCGCTATGTTATACAAAAGAAGCCATAGCTCGTTTTCTGAACGAGCTGATGAACCCCGTGATTGCTAGGCCGACGCTTCAGTGACGGTCGCGAACACCGCTCACTACCAGGCAACTATACGAAGCCCCAAGACGGAAAGGATTTGCGAGAGGAAGGCATGGGGGAACAGACAAAAGACTCGCAGCAACCACACCAAGTGCATCAGACTTACACAGAGAAAGAGAGAGAGAGAGAGAGTGAGGGCTGTCTCTTATACACATCTAGATGTGTATAAGAGACAGGATAGATACACCTCGGGCAATTTCCAGAGCAATTTCTCTTTGAGTGTCGAATTTTTGTTTTTTTTTTATCTTCGCTTCCTTTTTTTTTTTTTTTTAAGTACCAAATCGCCAAGGTCTCAATGACTCTTGATACGTTTTTTTTTTTTTTTTTTTTCCAAAATTTAAAAAGGCAACGTTCCACTTACACATCTAGATTCCGCGTCTGCCTAAGTGGCGGCCGAGATGCAACTCAGTACTACTCACAATACATAGGACTTTTCTATTTATTGACAAACGTAATTGAGGCCAGATGCATCTAGGTCTGGCCGTAAATGCGGTCAGATACATTTAAGATAGAGCTACTGTTAGTACGCCCTGAGGCAAGCGGCAGGAAAACTCACTTCCGGGGGGGGAAAACAAAGAAAAGAAAAAGCATCCCCCCCCTAGATTGAAGTCCTGCTCTTTTTTTAGTTTTTTTTTTTTTTTTTTCATTCCTTCCGCAGGTTCATCTACGGCAACCTTGTTACGACTTCTCCTTCCTCTAAATGATGACCAGGTTCAATGAACTTCTCACAGCAAGTCCTTTCTTTTCTTTTCTTTTTTTCTTTTTCTTTTTTTTTTTAATTAAGAAAGTAACTCCTGTCTATTCGTGAGCAGCAGCATGTGCTGGGAAACGGGCCCATCGTCCCAAATGAAATCAATGTGTGATAGATACATTCAACGAGTTCCGTAGAGCGGTCCTTTTTTTTTTTTTTTTTTTTTTTTTTGCGATTGTTATGGATGCCTTGAAGTCTTGAATGAATTCCCCAGACCGACCGAAGTCGTTTTTTTTTTTTTCCGGATTAAAGTCCACGTACGGAATCTTAACCGGGGTACAGGATACCGGTCGGCTGACAATTTGATTGGTGCTGAGTTCAACACCCGGTGAGCATAATGTATTGGAGATACATTTTTGACATTTCACTCGATTTGCCATTTGACTCGATTTGCCATTTGACTCGATTTGCCATTTGACTCGATTTGAGTGCATTACCTGACTGCTGACCGACAAGAGGTCCAGGCCAAAAAGAAGAAGGGAGGGGAAAAAAAAAAAAAAAAAAAAGAAGGGAAGGAAGG